AATTCTGTACGGTGCCAGGGGGGTGGGCAGCTGTTTCTGTGAAGCAGCAATGGGAGATTCCCTCTGCAGCCTCAGGGAGGATGAACTGGAAGCCTTCGTAGCAGAGGTGAGGAGAGCTCACAACCAAAAGAATAAACTCACTCCAGCTGTGTGAGGCAGTGCTGGGTGGAAGTCACTCGTCTGTTCTGTGGGAAAGTTCTCCAAGCCCTAAAAGCTCTCTGGATCAACCGTCCCTCCTGCACCATAGGTCAAATCCACTGCCATCCTGCTGGGAAATCTGGGGGGATGTAAGATAAGTTCGCAGGAGAGTAGGCTCCAATCGCTGCTGGTTTCACGTCAGACCGTGTTGCTTGAACCAAACCATCAAATTACTGAAGAAGGAGAAATTTTGCTTCCAAGGTCTGGTTGAGCCAGTGTGGGGGATATTGGCCACCGAAGTGAGTGCTGTGTAACTGGAGGCCAGCTCCGGTTGGGGTCACTGCTGCTTCCAGCAGCCCAGCACATCTCTGCTGTTTATAGGTTTGAGGGAAATTTTTAGATATTCCACTTCCATGGGGCAGAGGAGGGCCGTGTCCCTCCCCACTCCCCTTGCTGCCCATCAGAGACTGCATTGTGACAATCCTCTTCCTCACAGGAACATCTGTCTTGCCTGTGTTTGCAAGTGCATGGTGAGCTTCCTGAGCTGACGAGTCCCCAGTTTTTCCTTGTGTGTAGCTTGCAGCTACTGCAGTTAAAACACAGATGCAGAAGTAGTTAATTCACTTTCTAGCTTGTCCTTCTGTTTTCCCTAAGCAGCCTGCAGCAAACTTCCAAGAGAAGAGCTCCAGGACGGTGCTTAGGGGCACAGGGAGACCTTTCTGCTCAGTGTGTGGAGGAGTCCAGGGAGGGCAGAACCTGTGCTGAGTGCCGTGTCGGGCTGCCAACTCAGGGATATGCAGCATAAACACCTTCTCCCTGTTGTGCATTTTCAGCTCCCAGCAGTGATGTTAGGACCTGGCTCCGTAGGTTGAACTAAAGAAGTTGTTTGCATCCCAGATCTCCTTTTTTTTTTTTCTTTCTACAAAATGAGAAGGAAAAAACAAGTGCCTCGCCCTGCCCTTAGCCTCACAGGTTGGAGTGCTTATTCTCTGCCAGTTTTAGGCAATGTTTATTCATGTCAACACGTACCAATTACTTTCATGTTTCATCTTTACCTGCCGTGAGGATGGGAAACCTAAAGCTGCGTCCTTGGCTGCAGAGCCTGCTAGGTGCTGTGTCCTCCTTGGGAGCATCAGCTTCTCCCCACAGAGGCTGCTTGCTGCAGCACGGAGCTGGCTGGCTTCTGTCAGCTGAGCCAGATCCCTACCTGCTGCTGTGCCGTGTGGGTGCGTGTCAGCAGGATGCTGCTGGGCCAGCAAATGGGCTGCAGGAAGCCACTCAGCTTGAGAGCAGGCTGGGGCATGTGGAAGGTGCTCATTTCTTCACTGGCAAAGGGGTAGGCATGATCGCTGTCTCCTTCGTGCTGTCCCCTTGCTGTGATGAACCTGGGCCGTGGGTGGGAGCAGCTCCTGAGGTTGTCCCCACCAGAGGCTGAGCTGGGGAAGACTGCCATGCACGTCCTCTTGTCATAGTGTCACCACCCCAAGCACTGTAAATGGATGTACATACGTACCTAGAGCTCAATAAATAGCAGAGCCCTGCCTGTGTGGTGTGTGCAATGTTTGTCACCACGGGGACAGCTGGGGGTGGCCCTGTGCCCAGCAGGTGCTGTGTTGGCAACTGGAGCTGAGCAGAAAGCAATGGAGCTCCAACGTCCTGCCCAAGGCTGGTTGTGACCCCAGGCTTTCCTGTGTCCCATCCGCACCCTTGAGTGTATTTTCTTACACCTAATTCATAACCCAGTCTATTTTTGGAAGAGCTGTTTCTGGGGCTTGGTGAGTGTGGGGAGAAATCAGATTCCTGCCTTTAAATTAGGCTGCCGCTGCAGGGAAACAAATAATTTACAAAATAATGACCAAATTCTGTAGGAGAAAAATGGAGTTTGAGCTAAACTTTGGAGAGAGTTATTAAAAATTGATTTGCAAGTGCTGCTGTGATTTTTGCTATCAGCCTCATGGCTCGTACAGGTCCCATTTTTCAAGCCAAGCTGAGGAAGAGGTGGCTCTCGGGAGGGGGGGGGACCCTCCTCATCCTGCTCGGTGGCCTTTCAGGAAGCTGCAAGGGAAGCAGTAACGTTGGGGAGCTTCAGGCAGCCGGCTGGGGCAGCGTGCAGCAGGCCTTTGCCTGGACCATGCAGTGAATAGGAATCATAGGTCAGGCTTACATCGCCTGCTGCCCTCCTGTGCTGCAGGACTTTGCCCGGCTCTGTGGCTGATGAAGTTCGTGCTGGGCTCTGCTCGGCGGCCTCTGTCCTCCTGCGCCGTCCCTCCAGGGCTAATTGAATCACGGGGCTGGAATTGAATCCAATTAAATAGATCAAATGAGCTGGGTTTGCCACTCACTCGCTGTGTCCCGCCAGCCTGCTGCTGGATCCAGGAGCTCTTGGAGTCCCACGGTGGGATGGGGAGGCAGTTGGCAGCCCTGAGCTGTGCTCTGCCTGGTGCTGCTGAGGCAGAGCCTTCAGCCCTTGCTGTGACCTGCAGCCCCACTGCGTTCTGGAGCCAGCAGCGCCGGGCACCGTCTCCAAACTGGGATTAATGGCACGTGCTGAGAGGGGCTATTGATGACCGTGGCTTTAAAATACTGCTAACAGTGGATAAAGCCTTGTGATTTAGAGCACTCGGCAATTACATCTCTGAATTTTCCTAAAGATAGGATCAGACTCTACGCCCTCCTCTCTGCTTTTCCGATAGAATTAATGGGGATGGAGATATGCAATTAGACAAGGCGAAGGCTGGGAGGGCAGATCGATGCCTCGTGGTTACCTAATGAAGTGTTAAACTACGCCTTCTTCCCTCCCCGTGCCCCACAGCGGTGTGATGGGCTGATCCCAGCGGGCTACCGGGGTGAGAGCTCCCGTGGCCTTCCGCCTGGGTTTGCTGTCCTGCTGTGCCGGGCTCTTTGCGCCGTGCACGTGGGAGCGGCTCAGGATGAGGGCTTGGTGATGAGCCTGGGATTTTTGGTGGGGTCTGCAGGAGCGGATGCTGCCAGCAGCTGCTCCCAGCCCTGTCTCATCCCCTCTCCTCCACACCAGAGAAAGCTGTTCTGGCCGCACGCTGCACTGTCACAGCCGTCCCCATGGAGCGGCAGTGCTGCTATCCTTTATCTAAGCGGTGCTGACAGGTGACTGATGGGCCACCTGGGAAATGCACCTCGTGCCGGGCTCGATGCCATCGGCTGATGTTCAGCCCTGTGAGTGCACACGGGTGGCACCGGGGGTACAACACCCCTAGTGCCCTGCAGAACTGAGCAGGGATGGATGGGGCAGGCAAGGTACAGCTGGCTCCCGAGGCCGGTCGTGGGAGACGTGCCCAGCGAGGGGGCTGTCCCCATTTCTATGCCGCGGGGCAGCGGGCCGTCCATGGGGCTGCCCCACGGCACCCCCTGCCCCCCAACAAGCCCCCCGCCTTTCTCAGCCTGGCACGGCATCTCTGGCTGTGCTGCAGGAGCGCTGAGCGGGGATAAAAATAGCCGCGTTCACCTCCCGAAGGACCAGGGCTGAGCAGAAGTCGATCCGCTTCCCCGCGCAGCGCCGCTGGGCTGGCCGTGCCCGCGGCGCTGATCCCGGGCAGCTGGAGCCCGTGGGGCGCAGCTGGCAGCGCTCCCTTCGTGGCACCCCGAGTGTGCAGCCGCTCCCGGGGCCTGCCGGGTGCGCGGGGTGGGGACGCGATGCGGTGGCCGAGCGCAGCGGTGCAGGACCCGCAGGTGGGGGGGCTGGAGGCGTCCCGGGGGTTCCTCTCCGGCTCTGCGGCCGCAGGGAGGGAGCGTGTTTCCCCAGCAGCTCTCCGAGCGTTTCTCCGCCGCGTTTTCTTCGCTAAATGGCTCTTATTTTTAGATGCAGGCAGTTGCTAAGCATCGCTGCCTCGCTAAGGCGGCTGCTTTCGTGGCTTGACACCAAAGCACGCTGACAACACGCTGCCGCGTGAGCGCGGCCCTCCATCCGCGCTGCTCCGTTTTCCCTCTCTGCCGAGCGGTCCCCGCGGGCTGCGATGGGTGCGGGAATCGGGGCGGGATGCTTTGCCCTCCATCTTCCTGCAGGGAGCGGGACCCGAGGGGTGGCACACGCTGGATGCACCCAGGCCGCGTTGGAGGCACGGGGCACCGCTGTGCCGTGGAATCTTTGCAGCTCTCTCAGCTCCCTAGAACTGGTTCGGACACGGATGGCAGCGGATAATCGGGGCCGGCAGCAGAACCGAGTGCGGCCGTGTGGCTGTGGGACGCTCTTCCCTGTGCCCCTGAGGGCCGCCTGTCCCCGTGCTGCTGCTTTTCTCCATCTGTGGGGCTGCGGTGGTGGGGGGGGAGGGAAAGCGATCTTGAGACAGATCGTGTCGGGGATGGGGACGACGGAGATCCCGATGGGCTCGGGCCGCCCTCACCGTGCCCTTGCAGAGCGTTGGCCGCTGCCCAGTTGCAGTCCGGCTTCTCCACCACACAGTGCATCCCCCAGTGCTCCACCTTCCCTACTGGAGGTCCCAAGGAGGGGGCCGGGAGTGCCCACAGCGGCGTGCAGGGCTCTGCGCTCCCCCCGCCGCTCCATCCCCATCCCCGTGCAGACCCCGACCCCGGGGTCTCCCGAATACCCTCAGCGCAGCGGCTCCTCCCGCAGCCCTCCCTTCCCCTGCCTCAGTTTCCCCGCGACGGCGGGGCCGGGCCGGCGGCTCCGGGGAGAGGAGGCGGGGAAGGACGGGAGGGAGGGGGCGGCCGTGCCCAGCCCCGGCGGCGGCGGCGGTAGCAGCGGCGGCGCGCTCCTGCGAGAAGAGCCGAGCCGAGCTCCGGCACCGCTGCCCCCTTCCCGCAGCCGCGCGGGGCGGGGGGAGGCGGCGGCCGCGGGCCCCCCCTGCCCGGCGGCGGAGCCCGTGCGCCCCGTCGCGGTTCCCCCCTCCCCGCCGCGGAGAAGATGCGGAGCAAAGGCAGGAAGGAGAGCCTGTCCGACTCCCGCGACCTGGACGGCTCCTACGACCAGCTGACGGGTGAGTGCCGCCCCCGCGGAAGGTGCAGCAGCCGCTCGGGATCGCCGCCCCCCCGGCCCCGGCCCCGGCCCGCTTCCAGCCCCGGCCCCGGCCCCCGCCGCCCCGCTTCGCCCGCGGAGCGCCGGAGCGTAGCGGCAGCTCCGGCCCCAGGGGGGCACCGCTCCCCGGGGAGGTTGGCAGCCCAGTGGGAAACAACCCTCATACTCCCCGCGGGCGCTGGGGCGTTTGAGTCCCTGCCGGCCGCCCCTCAGCCCGCCTCCCGCATCGCCGCTCAGGACAGCGGGGTTTCGCGGCAGCCCCCCGGCAGCGGGGTCCCCTGGGAGCCCGGCCACCCAGCGGCACCCGAAGCTCCGGATCTCCTCCCCTCTTAAGTGCTCCCTGGGGCGCAGCAGCCCTACCCCAGCGTTGGGACGATTATAGTGCAGAGAAGCCACATATATCCCATCTGCAACCCGGTGCCATCTCGCTCCATCCTCACCCCCAGCAGGGAATTGCCGGTCTTCCCAGTCCCAACCCGTTTTCCCCCCATCACACCTCGTGCCCTGCTCCTTCCTCACTTGCTCGCCGTGGATCTGGCCAGATCCTATCCCCTCGCAGGATGTCAGCAGCTGGGCAGTGGGGCTCCCACCTTCTAGGGCTGTGATAAAGCTGAGCCACTCCGGATTCCATGCAATGGGACACCAGGCAGCCCCCAGCCCCGTGATGCTCCTACAGACGTGTTCCAGAAGGGATTTCAGGAGCCCCAAGGGGGTGTCTGGGCAGGACAGGACCCTCACCCCATAAGCAGCCCCACGCAGGGATGCCCTGCCGGCTGCCTGCACCACCGTGCTGCAGGGAGATATTTTTGAGCTGTGTAGGAACTTGGAACCCACACACAACTTTTGGTTTCTCCGGTAACTTTAACACGTCCATATGGATTTAAATCAAAGCGAGGTTAAAAATAAATGCCAGGTTCTCCCAGGCTGAGACCTTTCAGGGTCGGGCTTTGAATCCAAGCACAGCACGCGGCACAGACCCGGGGACGGGGTCTCTGGGAGCCCCTGCAGCAGCCAGCCCACATCCCAGCATGGCCACCGCCTGCTGGATCCCCCAGGAATGCAGGGCTGTAGCAAAGCATGCTGGCAGAGTGGCCTTTGTGTCCCCTGACCCATCGAGGGGACCCTCACCCCACGTTCCGTAGCTCATTTGGGGATAAGCATCCTGCTGCAGCATGGCCTGGGGACATCCACAGTGTGAGATGTGACCTGAGGTTGTCTGATGTCAGGCGATGGCACGTCCCCAGTGATCGTCCCTTGGTTGGTCTCCATCATCCCTCCCCTGCCAAAAACAGGAGGAGGGAGGCCAGGATGCGATCTGTGAGCACAGGAAGGCTGCGAGCAGCCCATGAGAGAAGAAGGGGCTGCACGTGGCTACGGGTGTGACGTGGGCAGCAGCAGGCAGAGGGGAGAAATGCCACCAGGAAATTAAAAGGGTCCATTTTGGGGACAGGGAGATGACGCTAGTGAGAAATAAAAGCCGTCCATAAATTACATGATTCCTCTGGCCCGCTAATGACACGGGTGATTAGTGTGAGTGCAGCCCATGTCCAGGGACATGGCCCTCAGCGTGGGAGAAGCAGGACCCGAGTGCCACTCTGCCCTCAGGAATGGAGGTACGGGGCCCCACAGCACAGGGGTTCCTGGGGAAGCAGGGACATTGGCCCCACGTCACCAATGGGACCAGCAGGTGCAGGCATGGGGCCAACATAGGGCTGCCTGCAGTGGGTCAGACTCTCCGGCTGCTGTTTGTAGGGTGAGGGATTTGCCTTTAGGGGTGAGGATTTGCTTTTAGGGCAGTCGTTTTCCCCCTGCTTTCTCCCTCCCGTCTCATTGCAGGGCCCCGAGTGAATTCTTTGCTCCACCCCAAAGGCAGCCGCAGTGTTAGCAGGGGGTGAACAACTGCTATAAAGATCATCAGCAGAGCTTTGGGGTCCTTCTGCTTTCCCCAGTGGGGAGTTGGGGACCCCACAGCTCTTCTTGCAGCACCCCACGAGATGAGATCCCCAATAGCAGTGAGTGTGTAGGGCCACGCAGCTGCAGGACAGAGCTGCATGCTGTGCTCTGGGGTGCGTCACAGGGATGGGGACAGTGATAGCCCTGCTGTGCACAGCTCCCTGCCTGCCACATGCCAGCACACAGACACCCTGAGGCTCACAGCCCTCTCCCCAGCGCCCTGTCCAGAGGTCCCAGCCCGCTGCCCACCCTCTGCTTCCCCCACCGCTGCTGCCACCCCTTATGCCCACCCTGCTCCTGTCGCCCTGCCCGGCCGTGAGGCGGGGCTGGAAGCCGGGCTGTCCCAGCTCCCCCGTGGGAAATCGCCCCTTGGGGTGGGGAGTGGTGTGGAAATGCTCTCACTGGGGCAGGGGATCCCGGGGGGCCCCCCTGTGCCAACGCGCCCACCCTCGGCGGATGCTGCACCTTCGCGGGGCGATGGATGGGAGTGTTGCCTGACTGCCTCGTCTGTCTGCTGCCTCCCTCCTTCTGTTTGCTCCTCGCCTCGGCCCTTTGCTCTCCTGGCTTGTTTGCGGCTCTGTAGGGCCAAGCGATGGGGGTGGGGGAGGGGGTGCGCTGCGGGCTGGGATTTGCAGGTCGGGGCCGTGGGAATGGCGGCGTGGGATGGCTGGGCATGGAGTCGGTTTGCTCCGTCGGATTTCTGCAGGCACCAGTGCATAATTGATGGCTCGGCACAACTTTGGCCAAGGTGCACAGATCCCGCTGCACGTGGCTGGGGATGCACGTGTGGGGAGTTCGCTCCTGGGGCATCGCATCTCTGGTTTGGGGTGATGAGACTGCGCCGGGTCCGTGTGGGGTACAGCCTTTGCCCTTCGGGTCGAGCACCAGGAGCCCAGGAGCCCCAAGGCCCCACTAACGGAGCTGCCCCTCCCTTGCTGGCTCGGCTCATTAGTGGTGTTTTCATTAGGAGAAGTGGTTTGGTTTCATTTAAGCCAAATTGCTGTGCTCGGGAGATGACAAATCCATCTGCCGGCAAATCGCTCTCCCGCCGCCGGCGTGGATCCCGGCCCCGGGCAATAATCGCTTTGCAGATGAATGAGCCCCCAGCGGGGCGGATCTCCGCTGTGCGGGGCGCCGTGGGTGAGCTGCTGCCCCAGCACCCCGCTGTGGGGCTCGGCCGTGGGGCGGGTGAGAATCCCTCCCCTCTCTAGCGGGATCGGGAGGATGAGCGAGGGGAGGGACCGCAATCCTGGCCCGTCTGGATAATTGCTTCTTCCTAGATTGGGTTTTAAAAAACGGCATTGTTTACAGACAGCCCCCAGATGGGTTTAGAGGCGGTAATCCCCCAGCCCTGCCTTCCTCCTGCTGGTGCCGACGTATCCCTCAAGGTCTCCTTTCCCCCCCAGCCTCCATCTCCCTCCTGGCTCAGCGGCACAGGTGCTGACCTGAGCACCTCCTCGGCCCTGATTCACTCCCGGCTCCGGGAATCCTTCCTGTCACTTCCCCCTTTGCCGCAAAGTCATTAACGTGCGAGGAATCATTTGTTGTGTAACTCGGAGGACGAAGGTGAGCACTGCTCTCGGGGTGACGCCGGCACTCTGGGGTCTGGAGGGGCTCCAGCAGCGACGCCCTCCATCCCCAACAGGTTCTCCCCATCTCTTGGAGCTTGGCAGGGTGTGATGGAAGGGACTTTCACAACCTCAGGTCTGCTGCTCCAGAAAGGGCTGTGTGGGGTTGCGGGCCTACAACATCCCTGTGTGGGCTGAGGCACAGCTATGGGGTCCGGCCCTCACTGCTCCCACAGCCACTGCCTGGCACTGCCATCCTCCTGTCCCAACACTCGGCCGGGCGCTGGTGTAAAGATGCTGCAATCAGACAGGGGGAACCTGCATTGGGCAGGATTTAGTGATGGGAAGGGACACGGCTGAGGCTGGGGGCTGCACAGAACACGGCAACATCCCATGGTTTCCCAGCAAGTGCCATCAGTGGAAGTGGTGGTACCCGATGCTGAGCCCTACAGGGATGGAACAGGGAGGTGATGGTGCTTCATACCGAGAGCAGCCCATGCAGACCCCAAGGGGAGCTGCCCAGGGGGCGTGGGGACCTTGAGCTGCAGCTCCTTTCCCTCAGTGCTGCTTGCTTTACCAGCCCACCCTGCCGTAATTACAGCCCGCTGCCGTGCTCTGGTAATACCACTTCTCTTTTATCACTGCTTAATTAAATAATTGTGGGGAAGTGAGGGGCTATTAGTGAGGGGCTGGGTAGTGCTGGGAGGCACATCAAAGCCTGGGGGCATCTCGTTTGGGCTCACCGGTGCTCCCCCAGTGGCACAGCACAGGGTTTGTGGGTGAACCTGGTTAATTATGGCCCACCTCTCACTCCATGGGAACCCTGATGAGCCATCCCCGGAGCCCAGACAGTGGTGGTACAAGTCTGCTGCTAATTAGATCCGAAAGTCCTCCCGTGAGCTCAGGTGCAGGGGTGATATTTGATTATTCTCGATTATTTCTGATTATTTTGTATTTATTTTGAGTAACTGCAGGTGCATTCTTTTCCTATTGGGGTCTGCTCTGTGGGTTGGTGAGCTCCTGACTCCCCCTCCCAGGTCAGAAATGAGTCTCCAAGGGGCCCTTGGAGCAAGGAGCACTCTCCTTCTCCAGTGGAACAGATAAAGACATGGTAGCACAGCTCCTGAAACAGTCCAAAATAGCTTTCGTGTCCCCAAAATGTCACTTTACAAAGGCAGGTGCTGGGGGCCTCCGTGGGGCTTGAGACAACAGCCAAGCATGTGGCCTTGCTGGTGGCCCTCCTGGTGACCTTGCTGGTAGTGCTGGTGGCTTTCCCAGCGGCCCTTCCTCACGGCATGCAGCTTGTGGGCATCTGAGGAGCAAAAGGCTGCTGACCCCACTGCTGTAATCTAGGGAGAGGAGATGGCCCTCTGTGAGCCGTGCTCACACACAGCTGTGCTTCTTGGAGGGTCTCAGGGTGCATCCCCCCGGAGTGTGCCCA